ATATTTTAGGTAGACAAGCTTCTGCAAAGTGTAGTGCATTTCACAAATATCCTCGATATATTAAGATCATGAGTAAATATTTTTTACAATTTATTATATATATAGAGTCTGCAATGTATATTCTGTATATATAAGGCTATACTGAATGTAAGTGTATATATTTTCAAGCATTATATATTTAATGCATTTATTTTCTCTGAATGATGTCAGATTTTTTTTTATGGTAAGGCTTTTTATATTTGTGTATTTCATGACAACATACAGACATATACTCACTCTCCTATCCAAGGTGTAGGTCTTGCACACGACCAGCAGGTTTTCCAGACACAGCCACCAAGTGCTCAAGGTGAAGCATGATGATACCGACATAAGTTTAGTTGTTCCATTAGTCAGTCGTCAAGTGGTTAACAAAAAAAAAGAAAAGAAAAGAAAAACACTCCTGCCATTGTATGTTGTATTGCAGAGAGATCTGGATTTTTTCACTTTCTTTTTTTTATATATAAACTAACAGAAGTACATTTTCCAATTCATTTTTATTTTTTTTTTATGTATTCTATTACTGTTCACTCTGACTACTCTTCATAGCAATAGTCAATAAGTACTGTATTTAGCATAGAGTCGCTGAATTATATAATTTCTTTCTGCATTGTGTCTTCATAGTAATTGTAATGATATGTAAAGTAGTAGTTAATCAGTGTTATAGAGCAGTTTTATTTGCATGTGGCATTAAATCACCGTCTGGTTATGATTCTGTAGTCTTTTATTCTAAGACAATATACTTTGGCTTCAAACTGCCATAAATCTGTGACATTCTGGCAACCCAGAGGTACAGAATAAAGATGCAGCTTATGTTTATTTACGGCTGTTCTAATATATTTTTTATGTGAAACTCAATTTCTTAATGTTTATATCAGTCTGTCATATAAATCCACACCATTTTTCCACCCTCATTTACTGATGCTTAGATAATATTTCCTCACATAGGCGAGGCAGGCGAGAGTCGCTTCGGATTCTCCATGACCTCCTTGGGCGACCTGAATCACGATGGGTACACAGACGTGGCCATCGGTGCTCCCTACGAAGGGCGAGGTGCAGTCTATGTTTACTTGGGCTCAAAAGATGGACTCATGAAGGAAGATGGACATGTTAAAGCGGCACAGGTAAAGATAATGATATCAATTTCCTCTTCTCCTCCTCAATCTTTTCCTTCATAATATCTCTCTCTTCCTATTCCCCCTCCTTTTTTCTACTTCTTATTTTTCTGCTACTTCTACTACTACTGCTTCTACTTGCTCCTCCTCCTCCTCCTCCTCCTCCTCCTCCTCCTCCTCCTCTTCTTCCTCTTCTTCCTCCTCTTCCTCTTCTTCCTTCTCTTTCTCTTCTTCCTCATCTTCCTCTTCTTCCTCTTCTATTTTCTCTTCCTCTTCTTCCACATCTTCCTCTTCTTCCTCCTCTTCCTCCTCCTCCTCCTCTTCTTCTTCTTCTTCTTCTTCTTCCTCCTCCTCCTCCTCCTCCTTTTCTTCTTCCTCCTCTTCCTCTTTTTCTTCCTCCTCCTCTTTTTCTTCCTCCTGCTGCTCCTCCTCCTCCTCATCATCATCATCATCATCATCATCATCATCATCATCATCATCATCTTCCTCATCCTCTTCCTCCTCCTCTTCCTCCTCCTCTTCCTCTTCCTCCTCCTCCTCATCTTCTTCCTCCTCCTCCTCCTCTTCCTCTTTTTCTTCCTCCTCCTCTTTCTTCCTCCTGCTGCTGCTCCTCCTCCTCCTCTTCCTCCTCTTCTTCCTCCTGCTGCTGCTGCTCCTCCTCCTCCTCCTCCTCCTCTTTTTCTTCCTCCTCTTCTTCCTCCTCTTCTTCCTCCTGCTGCTCCTCCTCCTCCTCCTCCTCCTCATCATCATCATCATCATCATCATCATCATCATCATCATCATCATCTTCCTCATCTTCTTCCTCCTCTTCCTCCTCCTCATCTTCCTCATCTTCTTCTTCCTCCTCCTCTTCCTCTTCCTCTTTTTCTTCCTCCTCCTCCTCCTCCTCTTTTTCTTCCTCCTCCTCTTCTTCCTCCTGTTGCTGCTGCTCCTCCTCCTCCTCCTCCTCCTCCTCCTCCTCCTCCTCCTCCTCATCCTCATCCTCATCCTACATCTTTTCCTCTTCAATATCTGCTTTTATTCATATATTTCTAATTCTCCTTATTCATCTTCATGAAGGTTTGTGCAACTAAGGAAATATTTATCAATTTATTTTGCTTTTATTATTATTTATTTTATTAGTTTATTTGTTTCTTTTTAGGTTATACGTGCAGAAGACATGCCTGGAGTTCCCTACAATGCATTTGGTTATTCACTGAGCGGAGGAATGGATCTCGATGGCAACGGCTATCCTGACTTGCTTACATCATCCTTCTGCAGTGATAGAGTTCTTTTGATCAGGTACAATTTAGAACTAATTAAGAATAAAAAGTAATTGAGTTCATTTTTTTCTTTTCTGTTCTGTTCTTCTCATTTTTTCCTTTTGTGTGTCTGCTTATGCGTGTTCATGTGTTTGTGCGGAATAGTGATTGAAGGAAGGAGGTCACAAGTGAAAGAGGGAATGTATGTATGCATGGTGTCAATTCCTGTGTCCTTGCATGTATCTCAGATTTAAAAATGAAAGTAACAAATGTGGCTTTTTCCTCTCAGGGCCCGCCCCATCATCGACATCCAGACCAAAGTGCAGTCTCAGAACAACCAGCTTGAGAACATAGACCCAAGCAAAAAGGGCTGCATTGAAGACATCAGTTCACCAGAGACTTGGTATGTTACTGAAATCTTGGGAGGGGGGGATGGTATGTTTCTCGATTTCTTTTCAATGCTAAATTTCTATATTAATGACAAGTATCAAGAATTATAGTCTATTGTATTTCACCATGGATTTCTGTTTTTTCTTTTCTTTTCTTTTTTAGTCATTGGTTTTATACATTATAGGGAGTAAATATAAGAGAGTTAGCAAAGATTTCTTGGTATAATTACTTGAATCAATAATTCATGTCAGGATTTATATTAGTTCTAAGAACAAAAGCCAAGAAAGAAGACTCAGAATATTTATGGAATGTTTTTTTAAAGGGAAATAATTTACAAAAAAATAACGAAATCGCATAAAAATATCAAGAAAGGAAAAACGGCAAAAAATAAAAAATAAAAACTAACTACCAGCATGCTTATTCTCACTGGCGTCCTTCCAGCTTTTCCTTCGATGCATGCTTCAAGATGGACAATGACGCTGGGACAAAGACCGTCCTACGCCTCAAGTACACCATCGAGGAACAGTTGTACAAGGACCAGCCCATAGCCAGAATCCGCTTCTCCAATGGACAGCAAGATCGACCATATACCGTGGAAAGAGATATCAGGCTCCGGCCAGAAGACATGGGCATATTCCAGTGTTCACGCGAAATTGTGTATTTACTGGTGAGGGAATGAATGCATCTGTCACACGTATGGATAGAATGTATATGAGTTAATTTGTGTATGTATAAGTATGAATGGACCTCTTAACTAGGTCATTGCATGCTTATGTGTGGGGGGTTAAGTAATATGATAAGGGGGAGGGGAGTATAGGCATGTTTATTGGAATTTATGGCAGAGAGGGTGTAAACAGGATTTGCACAAATATTACTGATTAGATGTAAGTTAACTTGAACTGTATCTGTTGTTGAAATTTATTGCTTTTATGAAAAGCTATAATTTTATTTCTAAGGCCTTAAACACTTGCATTTCTTTTTTTATTGTAATTCTCTCTATTCTGACTGAATTCTGTCACCTACAGGATGGCCCAAGAGACATTCTGCGTCCACTGAAATTCAAGCTGTCCTACGAGATCATTCAAGGCCAGCCCAGTCCTGTTCCTGAAGGCAGTCCCTTGCCAGACATTGATGAATTCCCAATCTTAAACCAGCAGGAGGCAGTCAGGTATGGAAAAGACATAATCAATATCTCTTTTATAAATTTAAAGATTATTTTAGTATGATTTATTTTTATTATAATTTCCAGATATGTACTGGACTTGAAACATTTTCTCTCACACTTTCTTCTTGTTTAGCAAGTAAGTAATGCAGTAACTCTTTCCCTATTGTACAGATATTTCAAAGGCACCTTTGCCAAGGACTGTGGTGAGGATGACATTTGTATGAGCGATCTGAACATCAAGGCGAACCTAAGCCTGGACCTACACGAGTCTGGTCATTACCTTTTACGCTTGGGAGAACAGAATACAATACCTCTCAATGTAGAAGTGATGAATGCTGGAGAACCGGCCTACCAGTCAAGCCTCCTTGTTCACCACCACAAAGCTCTTGAGCTGAACCTTAAGGAATCTCAAGTAAGTTTCTCAGTGCTTGTGAATGATTAGTCTTTTTGGTTTGAGTATCTTAAAGCGTTTGAAACTTTATATTGGGATGACTCCTCAGAAAGATAGTTATTGTCACCTGTACTTCAAAGTTTCATACATACATAATGTAATAAATAAAAAGTCCTTGAGTTAATACATAGCTCTTTTAATATTTAACATTAGCAATCATGCTCTATACTCGGTTAACCCCTTAACTGTCTTTTCCCCATCAGCTTGGCTCATACCAGTGTTCACGTGTGTCAGCCATTCTCACACAGTGCGGTCTTGGAAACCCTCTTGTAGGTACAACAGGGCCATTAATCCTGACCTTCAAAGAATCCAATCTGCCATTTGACAGAAAGTTCATCCACTTCTATGTGGAAGCCAATTCATCATCTATTGAAGAGCGTCCAAAAGAGCGTATTCAGTTTACTGTGGAGGTGATCAAGAGGGCTGAGATCTCTATTTTGCCGTAAGTGTTTGTATATCTGTGTTTTACTGTTGTTGATCTTACATATTATTTATCTTCGTCCCTAGCTATGATAAATTATATAATAAATATAATATCAACTGTACAAGATACATATATGAATAAAACTACTCAAAACCAAAAAATGAAAATACATTTTCTTCCAGGTCGGTTGCCCCAGAGCAAGTGTTCTATGGAGGAGAGGTGGTGGGGCAGTCTGCCATAAAACACATGGAAGAGGTGGGCATGGAGGTCACTCACAAGTATGTAGTAGACAACCGTGGCCCCTGGAGAGTGGATGAGGCCAAGGTGGCCATCCTCTGGCCATACCAGGTCGAGAACAACAAAGAGCAAGGGAAATGGCTTCTGTACATGACTGAAGTTCCGAGTGTAGATGGTAAGTCAAGTTGGTAGCTTATATAGATTGGACCAATAGGATTATTTTTTTCCTTAATTTTTTTCAGCATTCATTTCTTCTGGTCTTATCCTACCCTTTTCTCCTTTTTTATTAATAAATTTGACTTTTGTCTTGTTTGATTTTGGTAATTTTCACTATAAATACCTATTATCATCATTCTTATTCTTACTGTTATTACAATTATTATTCATATTTATGTCTCCTTGTTATATCTGTGGTAGCTGTATTACATTAATCAGATAGTTATAACTAGCTGATTGAACTTTTTCCCTTTCCCTGAAAACTAGAAAATAAACTCTTTTCTTCCAGGTGCTGGAGAATGTGAAGTTGATTCCCGTTATGTGAATCCCCTTGTACTTCGCCGGACATTTGCTTCGGCCTCAACAGGTCTTGAAGTTGAAGGAGAATTGATATCCACAGATTACCCTGATCCTGGTGGAGAAGTAGGTACTGGGTCTGGTGATGTGAAAGTAACAAAGACAGTGACAAGTACCAAGAAGGTAACAAGCACAACTGACATCAAGAAAACCTTAAAGAAGTCTTCCTCGAAAGATGTTATTGTTTCCACTGAGAGAACTACCTCATCCAGTGGTTATTCCTCATCCAGTTCCTCTTCTTCAAACAGGTTTTCATCCTCAACCTCCGAATTCAGCAACTCAGGATCAACGGATGAAGAGGAATATGGCAGTGGGTTTGGGCAAGGAGCTGGTAGAGATCACGGCAAAACACACGTAAGAGTTAGCAGGAAGGTATTTACATCAGATAGGTCCAAATTCTCAGATTCTGACTCTGGGGCAAACGACCTTGACAAAGAAAAAGATGTGGATGGGGATGGACTCATCTCTCACCACGAAGAAACTCGCACTTCCTCTGGAGTATCTCCTGATGGAAGAACAAGATTTTCTGAAACCCATCATGTAAGTAAGAAGGTACATGTCAAAGAGAGCACAACTGATGAGGACTTGCCTGCTGGACGATGGGGACAGGGAGGTGGATTCCGTAAGACTTACATTGAAACTTCCAGGTCTGGATCTTCCAGCATTCCATCAGAAGAAGACAGAAGAATTTTCTCAGAAGCAGAAGGTTCTTCAAGAGTAGGTATCGATGGTACATACATAGAAACTTCCAGGTCTGGATCTTCCCGCATTCCATCAGAAGAAGAAGGTTCTTCAAGAGTAGGTATTGATGATCATGCAGGTTCTGGATGGCATGATGGTTCTGTTGGAAGGGATCACAGTGTGCAAGTGGAAGATGGTTCACACAGAGTACAAACAGTAAATAGAGATGAAACTATCAGAAGAACTCACTTTGGTGGATCAGACAGGGATGGAAGTTACAGAAGAGTGTATGAGGAAACTAGAACCACAGGTCATGGAAGGGTTGGAACTCATACTGGTGGCTATGATGATACATATGATAGAGATGGCTTTAGGACACAAACCTTTGGCAGACATGACAGAGTTGGAGCAGATAGAACGGAAGGCTCAGGTTGGTCTAGAGGATCCAGGACTGAATATGAAAGGAGAACTGGAGGCACTGATGAGTCCAGGAGAGTGGGAGATAGAGACAGATTCAACACTGATGATTCAAGAAGGGTGTCAGAGGGAGACAGAGTCAGGTGGACTTATGCTGATAACCAAGGACGTACAACAGGCAGGGGAAGCACAGGAACTTATTCCTCATCTAGCAGAGGTTATGAGAGTGAAAGAACTTTCTCTGGTGATTATGACAGAACAGATGATGGAAGCCACAGGAGACCATATTCAGGTGCATATGATAGAACAGGTATTGATTCTAGAAGAGGACATTCTGGTGGATATGACAGAACAGCTGAAGAAGATGGTTCCAGAACATACTTTGCTGGATATGACAGAATAGGCGACAATGATCAGAACAGACGGGTCTATGGCAGAACAGAAGGAGAGGGTGAGTACCGAAAGAATTTTGATAACTACGACAGAAGAATAAATGCTGGCGGCAGAGGTGAATCAAGAGTCTACGAAAGAACAGAGTCTACAAGAACGTACCATAGTAACAGAAATGAAGATGGAGACTTCAGAGATGGCTCATCAAGGTCATCTGGAGACCAGTATTACAGGAGAACAAACCTCGACAGATCTATTGACCATGCATCTGGAACGGATTCCTTCAGGCATGCCTCTGGTGAAAGCAGAGATGGGTCCCATTCCAGGTCAGGACATGGCACCCTCAGGACCACCACATGGGATTTGACTGCTGACAGTGACAGGAATAACAGGGCAAGACAGGGATCTCACTCATCACACCATCATGTCACTAGTTCTCAAGACCATGGTGCATTAGCAAGTGGTTCAGGTACTGGAAGAACGAGTCATTTTGAGTCCTCAGACTCCAATGCAAATAGAACCTACAAACGTGTTGAAGTAGATCCAGAGACTGGAGAAACCACAGTCTACACAAGAAGAGTGTACAGTCACAGTTGGCCAGAAGACTGGGACCACAGATCATTTGATGAAGAATTACCACCCTTGGAGGAAGTAGAACATAAAGGAAGTCACCGGCAACTGAAACGTACCAAACGTGAGAGAGAACTCATCATCAAACCCCAGGCTGTGACAGATGCCAAAACAGGAAAAACAATGCAGGTTGTGAATTTGGTAAGTTGATCATTTATTGCTGTAGTATAATTAAAATATTGAAAAAATTATTCAGTATTGAAAAATTCTAGAATTGGATAAGTACAGTAAGTCCCCAACTTAAGAACATAATGGGGACCGAGAGGCTGTTTGTAAGGTGATTTGTTTGTATGTCAAAAGTCAGGTCTCCATTACCTTTTTTCCCATTGTTTTAAAGTTTGTTTACATTAAGAATACATGTAAATAAATCCCAATAAGTACGACATACCTTATACAGTACCAGACTCTTGAACTATATTCATACCCGGCAAATTTGAAGTTTGCTATCATCTTTCAAACAAGTTTTTGGACTTTAGTACTTAAAAAATTTTGTTTGTATGTATGGAATGTTCATAAGTAGAATGTTCTTAAGTTGGGGGACTGTCTGTATATTAGATTATCTATATAAAAAAACTGAAGTCAATTTTGCCTGTTTCTTTCTACAGAGATGTGATGGAGATGTTCCAACAGCCAAGTGCTTTGTCTTCTACTGCACCATCCGAAACCTAGGCGCCAAGCAAGCAGCAAGTATTCGCATCAAATCAAGACTATGGAACTCCACGCTGGTCGAGGATTACCCTAGGGTCAGTTATGTCAGCATTAAATCCAAAGCTTCATTGATATTACCAGAAGACATCCGTAACGACCAAGACCAGTCAGACGATGAAGCCTCCGCAGAAACTTTAGCTTATCCAGATCTGTTGGATCAGCTTCCACCAGAGGAAGTGCCACTCTGGGTCATATTAGTTTCAATATTCGCTGGTCTTTTAGTCCTTTTAATCATTGCGCTCATATTGTGGAAGTTAGGCTTCTTTGAAAGAAAACGGCCAGACCCAACGCTTTCAGGAAACTTGGATAAGGATGCAAATGGATACTAATCCTTAATAGACCTCTAAAATATAACTCTTAACTTCCAAGTGCCATGTTCTGCATTTTCATGTGCCGAAAATGTGAATAGTGATTATAATTTTTTTTTTTTTTCTTATTTGATGATAAAACATTATCATGAAAGTTTGTGTGCAAGTCAATGTGCTCGTATGTGTCTTTGACCCATTGAAAATGTGGAAACTCTCTTAAACTATGTGAAAGTGTTGTTTTTATGGCCCATTAATGTCCCTAAGATGTGGCATAGTAAAATAAAAAAATGGCTTATTAATAAATAATGAGATTTTGGGATGATATGAGCTGCTGTATGACTGCTACAACACAAGCGCCAATGCTGCTGCCATGACTGTGATGTTCATTGTGCCTTCCAATCTCTGACTTTCAGAGGCACTTGTGGCTCAAGAATAGCCAAAAGATTTTTTTTTATTATTATTGTTATTATTAATATTATTGTTATTATTATTATCATTATTATTATTATTATTATTATCATTATTGTTATTACTATTACTATTATTATTATTACTATTATTTTATTATTATTGTTATTATTATCTTTTTCCAATCAGAAAGGTGTAATGCCATTTTTCTAGATGTATAGCTTTTCTGGACTGTTTATTTTCAAACAAAACTTTGCAAAAAAGTTTGTGTACAAAATTGATGATGACTTGAGATGTTATTTTCTTACAATATGAGTTCAAAATGACATCTTGATCTGCTGAAGTGTATTGATTATGCCTCTTCCTGAGACAGTTACATATGTGTGTGCAGATGAATGAGTGTGTGCTAGGTGCGTTTTGAACTAATGCTGTATTTGGTTGTTCAGCTTTGTCTTTTGTTCTGTAAATATGTGTAGATATTTGGTGATAAATGGTGTATTTGTTATTATTAAACTATATTTTAATCAATAGTTTTATGAACTATTGTCCTGATTTTTTTTTAAATCTTATTTTTTTTTTTTATGATCTGTTGTAGTTGATTCTCACAAATCTGCTTATTCATTAGGATCTCACTGTACATAGGAGATATTATACCTGCGTGATAAATCCATTCACTGAACTGTACTCTCTCGAGGCAATCAGTGTACTCATAAAATTTTATGTATGTTAACCAAAAATATTATGAGAATTCTCTTTCAAATCATGTTGTAAAAATGTTCAGATATTGAATGCTATACTTGTATAATAAAAATGAATTCTAACAAAG